TTTTTTTTTTTTTTGGCATTGCACATTTTGCCGATTTCATTACTCTCTTTCTGTCCCCTTAGTCTCCAGTGGGAGAGATATATATATTTTTTTTTTAAGAAAAAAAACACCCCAAACTGTAGGAACCCGGAAGCGGAAAAGACAGTTTTTGAGGTCGAAACTTCCGGGTCACTGGGGGAGTGCAGGATTCCGGGGCCGAGAGCGGGTGGTGGAGCCGGGACCTCGCGTGATTCTCGGAACCCGAGAAGCGGCGTCTGGGGCTATGGCTGTTACTCTGGACAAAGACGCTTATTACCGGCGAGTGAAGAGACTGTACAGCAATTGGCGGGTGAGGAAGATCCCTTATTTTCCTTAGGGAGCCCCCCTCCACCATCCCATGATAACCCTGCTTCTCGGCGCCCTTTTCCCCCCTTTCCGTCGGGACTTCCCCGGTTCTGTGTTGCGCCCCTTTCGTTGCTCCTGAATCATGCACCGCAAGCGGCAGCGGGTGCCGCTCTGTAACTGGGACTATCCCGCAATCTCCCTGCCCCGCGGCCCTCATCCCCGCGTGCTAGACCCCGTCATGCAAAACAGCCGCTGCCCGCTTCTTCCCGCCCTCCCCAGCCTTCCCTCCCACTCCGAGATCGCATCTTGCTGCCCCTCTTGCAGTGATCACACCCACCCACGCACTCCCCGCTGCCCTTCCAGAACCACAGCGTTCGCCCAGGTCCCGCCAGAATCCAGTCATCTTCCTGAAGAAGGGGTAGAAGGCCAGAGAGAGGATGTAAATTGGGATTGAGGACTGCATCGTGTGCAGGGCTGTTGCTGGAGTTAAAAGAAATACTGCTCACGAGCAGCGCCTCATTCTAGGCCCGGTCGTGGGCAAAATTAGATTTTCTAATACTGAAAATCTGCAGGGGAAAAAACCAAAAACACCTGATGCGAAGCTTAAAAGCCTCATCAGTGGAGTGACCATACATACACGTGTTCAGAAAAAAGAGCTCTTGTAGTTCCCAGTCTTTTAAAGATGGGGTTGTTTTGCTGCTTTAAAACGTCCATGGATAAAATTTATGTAGGAAATAATCATTGATCAACAACATTAGATTGCATTATGAGATGCAGCCTGACCTGTCTACTTTAAGTCTGGCCTCTGAATCCTGCCCTCAGGGAAGAAATAACTAATAAAGGACTTTTCTAAAACGGGGGTGGAGCTAGGGGCGCACTGACCGACAGAATGATCGATTCTGATTTCAGCATTGTAAATAACCTTTCAAATTAATCCTATACTAAAATTGTATCATTTCCCTGCTCCTCATATTAAATTTACCTGTACATATGTCAACATTTGGAGTTCAGTGCATTATCTAATTGAAAGTAAAGTGGAGTATCTGGCATTTTATGGAAGTAAAAAGAGCTCTGTATTAGATAAATATCAGCCACATGATGTTAGTTTCTCACTGTCACATATTTATATTTGAACGTGATCTGTTACCAAAAAAGTCCATTACAAGCCTGATGTTTTCCAAAGAGTAGTAATTGCTAGTGTGCTGTTAACATCAGCAGTCCTCTTCTCCACCCACACTCCCCCCAAAGTACACACTATTGGTAAGGGAGTTGTTTCTAGCACCAGTAATTCCGTTTACCCAGTTTATTATTCTTCTGCTCTAAACCAGTCACAAAAATTAAGATTCATTTAGAGCTCAAGGTTCCCTACATAATAGGAAAATTCAAAGCATGAAACCAGCCTCTGGAGGAACCACTGTGGCATGCAGACAGATCAACATATTACCAAATGACAGTCTTTAAATCAGCGAGGGGAAACAGATGTTAGGTTATTGGTTTGCCCTCTTCCCCAGCACCCATGTTTTGTTCCTGCAAATCATTAGAATGTATGTTAGTATGGAGCACAATTCCCAGAACACTGAATGGGATCCAACTTGATAGCAACTGTTCTTTAAAATTACTTGCAGACTGTTTCCTCCAGGACCAGTTCCCTGAAGCACAGTAATAATGTCAATTTATTTGAAACTTGAGCCACATTTGTTGGCAGTCATGATATAATAGAAATTGCATGAAACCTGGAAGTCTGGAATCTAGTTTGTCTGGTCCTAGCACTGTCCTCCTGAATTCCATGCAGGGTGCATTTTCCTTATGAGAATTAAAATCCTGGTAGTGTTCACAACTTTATATATAATTAGCATGTGACATACAAGTCTAATAAAAAACGTACAAGAAAACTTAAATGAAAAAGAAATTATGTCGGCCCTCTTAATAACATAATTCAGGAGGTAGGGGCTTGTTAAGTATTGACAAGTTATAAGTCAATTCTAGACATTAATTGCCAGGTCAGAAAAAGTTGTGACCAGGTAAATTGACTAGACTACTTTTTGATAACTGAGTTTTAATGAAGCTCAGTACCTACCTGCAGAGTCTCTGTGCCCAGTACTTTTACTCAGATCTGCTTCAGCAAAGAGCATTGTTTTCTGAGGGTACACTTTAGTTGCTTGTAGCAGAATGATACTGGAATATATATAAGCTTATTTGAAATTCTTCATTCCTTTATGTGTACTCATTGCCGAATAAGAAATGTCCCATGCTTGCATTTGAACCCGTTTCGACTGTAGGCAACTTCATGTGTGTCAGAGTAGAACTGCTTCAGAGCATTTTCAGTGGTTGATTTTCCAGAAGTGGATTGTCTAGCCTTTCTTTTCAGGGCACCTCTGGGTTGGCCTGAACCTTCACCCTTTCAATTAGCAGCCAGGTGGTTAAATGTTTATACGATTCCAATAAGGAAAATGGGATTGAAATGAGGTAATTATTTGATTTTAAGTGTATAACTCCCAAGCCTTGTGCTATCAGCTCACATTTCCAAAGAAATTTCTTTAAATATCATCTAGTTTTGGATGCATACCCACTTTTGGATACCCTTCATTGTATGTAGGTCATTTAAAACTGGTAACTTTCAGGTCTTCATCTATATTGAGTTACAAAGCTACTAAGTCTCCCCCTCCCCTCCTTGTAGGGATTAATGTGACTTCTGACCTCACCCACACGGTAGACCTCTACAGTGACCATAAAGGAGCCCTGGTGGCATCCCTGGGTGAATATTGGACTCCTCTTAAACCTGCCGGCTCTTCACTGGAGAAAGATGAGTCTCTACTGCACCACTGAAGATGTACAGCCTAGAAACCCTATGAAGGCAGTGGGTTTAGGGAGAGTGACTAGAACTCCTTAAAGCTTTGGATTTGGTTTATTCCTGCCCCCTTTTCAAGTTACAGATGTTCAGCAGAAAGGGTTTACAGTGCCTCACCCTTACCTGTGTTCGAAAACCGTAGGGATTAGTGGTAGGGAAGAAGAAGGGGCTCTGGCTTCTCCTCTCTACTGGGTCGTTATTCAAAACTCGCCAGACTTTGCAAGATGATGGATTTTGTTGTTGTTGAATTAGGAAAATACAGCAAGACATTTTCTATTACAACTTTCGCATTTATAATTGAGTGGCATTGAGTACACTGTTCAGCTCATGCCACCATGAATGGTATCCTTTTCCAAAATATCCCCCCATCATTAACTTCAATTAATGTGATGCAATACCCACTTCCCTTTTTCCTGCCCCACACCTCCTCTGGTAACCATTAATAATCTTTGATTTCTGGATATTTGCTAATTTCATATGTGAGGACATGGTATATTTGTCCATTTGCTGCTGATTTATTTCTTTTAATAGCTGCGTGATATTCCATTGTAGGGGCATACCACATTTTGTTTACCTGTTTATTGATGGACATTTCAGTTGTTCGAACCATCAGCCTGTTGTAAAAAGTGTTACAGGGAATATTTGTGGACAGGTGTCTCCTGGTTCCTACCTTCTCTTCTGGAATTACTGGGTCACATGGTAATTCCATGTTCAACTTTTTAAGGAACTGCCAAACTTTTCTACAAAAGCTGTACTAGTTTACCTGATCTCTAGCAAAGGAGGAGGATACCAGTTTCTCCGTACCTTACCAATACTTTTTTCCCAGTTACGATTATTTTTTATTCACTAATATAATTAGCCCTGCTCACTGGGTGGGGAAGAACAACTACAAACTTATCTAGTGGTTCTAGCTGTTACAAGGACTGATGAGCAAGTATTCAATCACTCTATAACTTTGAGACCCACATATTAAGACAACTTGCTGGTGGTGAGCCTTTATCTGTTATATCTGCCTTTTATCGCTGAAGAATTCAGTCAGATGTCAGAATAACAGCTGTTTTGAAGAATGCTGATCCAATGCATTCATGAGTCTAAGCCAACTGGGTTGTGACTGGAGTGGTAGGTGGGTGCAACCCCTAGAAAAAGTTTGCTTTGGTGCAGAAAGTTAATGAGCTTATAGTGTCAGTACTTCTCTTCACTGCTACTTTCTGGCCCTTTTCTGATAGAATGGTGGCTTAATCGGTCTATACGAGGATCCTGGTGGCGTAGTGATTACCTGTTGACTGCTAACCACCAAGTCAGTGGTTTGAAACCACCCAGCGGCCCCTTGGAAGAAAGATGGAACTTTCTACTGTAAAGAGTGAATCGTCTCAGAAACTTACGGGGGCAGGTCAATCCTGTAGGGTTGCTATGAGTCAGAATCAACTTGATGACATGAGTTTGGGGTTTGGGTTTGTGTGTGTGTGTGTGTGTGTGTGTGTGTGTGTGTGTGTT